ATCTCTCTCTAAACGTTATTTTGGAATGAAATCCTCTCTCTCTCTCTCTAAAATTTCATTTGACATGAAATCCTCTTTCTTTAGGAAAGAAGGTATTGAAATGAAATCTTCTCTCTCTAGAAAAAGTCTTGAAATGAAATCTTCTCTCTCTAGAAAAGAAGTCTTGAAATGAAACCTTCTATCTAGAAAGAAGTCTTGAAATGAAATATTCTCTCTCTAGGTCTGAGTGTGTAAGACTCGAAGGCCAAAGAAGAGGCCCGCAAGGGCGAGGCGAAGGAAAATATCTGCCCTGCGCCGGCTTTTGACCACCCACGGTGGAAAGTAGCTCTGAAGAGACCCGATAGACCCCATTTCATTCCTGGTCTAACCGCTCTTTATCTCTAAACTTGCTCTCTCCAGAGTCACTGCATTTCTCTCTCTCTCTCTCATGGTAAGAACCCCTTCCCTCACTTGTCCTACCTTCTGTGGTGGTGGTTCGATATGCGTGTTACCTGGTTTTGATTTCCCCGTTTCGTTGAGCTTGTTGAGTTGCTTTTTGGGTTGAATTTTTGGCATTCTTTCATGGGTTTTTTGTGATTCTTGTTTTTGGGTTGATTGGAAATTGTTGTTGGGTTTTGGATCTGCTCTTTTTCCGATGTGGGTTCTTCACAGAACTCTTTTTCTCTCTCTCCTTATGGGTTCTGAAAAGACGTGGTGATGATTATTGTTCTCATTTGATGATGGGTTGTTGAAATTTTAGATCATCATCGTCATTATTACTGTTAACTAGTGATCACCGGGTTTGATGCATGGTTTTGTTTATTATAATTAGAATAGTGTGATTAGTGCACAGGGGATTGATCCCATGAATTTTTGGTCCACAAATGATACAGAGCTAAACTTTCATCCTTGATATTATGAAAGTTATAATCAGATATTTTGGTCCTTAGAACTGTTATGTTTATGTTGCTGCCTTCTGTCTTAATTCATTTTCGTAATGTGTCTTATTGGTTCCATAAGAAAGAAAAGGGAAAGTCCAGTGTTTCCATTTGAATTTGCAATAGGTTAGCTCATTTCTACAGACTCTGCAACTGATATAGAGAAATGTCTGTATCCTAAAACCTCATCTAAGAATATGCTCACTAGTTGAAATGGTTAGGTCTATGAAGCCTCTGTTGGTTGAATCCATTTTTGGGGTTTGTATGTGTTAAAAACTTAAATTTCTATTTTATTTGCTTTTCAAATTTGGGAAGTAAATAGAAGTCCCATTTTGAGCGGAGACGGTTGACCACCTTATGCTTTCTTGTTTGCTTGAGGTATTTGGAAGAGCTTTCTCTTAGCTTTATTTCATATTTCTTGGGTGATGCTTCACTCCATCTCTCCATCTCATTTGTGTCAGGTGGTTGTTTATATGTGTGTGTGTATGGGGTGTGGGGTGGGGGAGTGATTTCATGAAACGATTATATAGTAATATAATGAAACAATCATCAAAAACCATGTTAGATCCGTTTGTTTAACTCCAATTTTTAAATATACTCTCTTTTCATTCTAGTGAACAATAAAAATAAATAAAATTTGAAAAAACACCCTAGAAAGTGTTTTTTAGCCTAATTGATGTAAGCCGTCCATTTAAGTGAGATACTTAGAACTAGTCCTTAGAAAGTTTTTTCCTTTTCAATTTTTTTTCGATAACTTTATTGTCATTAGATTAACAATGTTGAAAAAGGAAAAATTGATTTGGAATTCGTAAAGGCCTAGATCTTGAAATTCACCAAATGGATGGTCTAGTTTATTGTTGGAGGGTGTGTATTTTGACCATATCTATGGTGCAAATCGAATTTTAATTTTTTTATTATTGATTATTGAGACAAAGAGAGTGTGTGTGCAAAATTTGGGCTCATTTAAATACCATAAACATGGTTTTCTAGAAGTGTAGTTTCTTTATATTACAATGACGTAGTGACATGAAATCACTCCCCTATCTCTGTGTATGTGTGTGTGTGTGTGTGTGTGTGTGTTGTAAATGTGTTGAGTTGTTGGTTCGCCCTTTCTTTCTTATTGTTTGCTTATGGTATTAGATATATTCCCTCTTCTAGCCTCCTATGGCATGTAGAGAGAGGAACAACACAATCTTCAAAGGCAGTTGAGCTCTCATTTCTTTTATGTTTTGCTGATTTCTCATCAACCATTGTTTTTTATTGTTTGGATTTCATTTACACTCCATCAATAATGAACTAAATCATCACATCATGAAAAAAGGGCACTGATTTTTTCTGTTTGAGCAACGGTTAGAGAATCCAAAATGTACTGATATGTTGAGTTCTCACCTATTTGCAGGTATCAGACTTATATGCCTTTTTTAGGATTGGTTTGGTTCACGATTGCACAGTTAGAGCCCCAAACTGTTAGTTGTATTTCGATCCGGGTGTCCTATTGGAGATACTCCCTCATGTAATCACTTCAAATTTGAGTTGGGATGGAACTCATTTAGAAATCCATGACCCATCAGGGTTGGAGGAATCCTAATAGCCAATAGATTAGGATGGCTTGTGTAGCTTTATCAGATCCTGTTGGTGTCTTTGTCCAAACGGAGGCTAAAGCTCTGGCCTCCGGGACTGTTCAATCTTCCCTTGGTTAGTCTTCAACCAGTGCTTTCCGGACTGAACCAGAGGTCAAATTGATAAGGGGCCTAGTATTGTCTGAACTGCTCAACCTGTGATCCAACCAGTTGGATAGGTTTAAAGAAGAATGACGTAAAATAATGAAAATAGGGAAAAGATTAAAGACATATATTCAACCTGTCTGACCGGCTGGTTTAGACCAGTTTGACTAATTCCGTTACTAAGGTGGGGCTTGATGGACAATCCTTATGCTTGGAGTTAGTTTGACAAAATGGGGGAGATCATAAGGATAAGGAGGGATGGATATTTTTCAGCTTCCTTCATCTGTCTCTTGATCCCAACTCCCTCTCTGATTCCCTGGGCTTTGAGACTGTTCTGAGATATTCTTTCGTGATTGGACTATCCCATTGTCCTTCCCTGATTGGTTGTGTGCAATTAAGGCCCGTGGCACTGTAATTTTGCACCCAGTGCAACTGGAATACTATATGTATAAGAATGCTCACAAAACCTTGTGTTTCTATTCTTAGTCACCAGTTAAATTGTTATTTCGTGGTTTGAATGATCAATATTGTAGTTTTGGTCTAGCCATAAAAAGAAAATTGTTGTACTTGTGAGCTAGACACTGTTAGCTTGTTAGTGTTTTATTACAAATTATTGTTTATACTTTCTATTCTTCTTATGTATCAGACCTTGCATTTGTATATGATTTGGGTGTTGCCAACATTGTTATAAATATATTTTTACTTCTAATTCGTGAGATTTGAGCATTATTTTCTTAAGTTATTTTCTGCATAATTAGAAAGTTGATAATCATGTTATATTTCCCCAGAGAACAATGGCAGGTCATAGAGCCCTAAAAGGTTCCTACTATTTGACCTTGATCTGGGGAATATATGATATTAAGAAATGAGTGTTTTATTAGGAAATGGGTGTTATTTATGCAAGAATATGACATATTAGGATATATTTGTGCATATACATCCTAATAGTGACATATTAGGAAGTATATGTACTTGTGAGATCCAGATTCGAAAAATAGACATGGTTTAGTACTCAAGCATTACCCTCCATCAAGTCTATGTTTAATTTCAAATATGTTGTGTGCTTGGCAAATCTTTAAACAGAATTTTTTTGAAGTATTTGAAAAACGCAAAAGAATTAATGGGTGTTTGCTGTGGCAATCACGTGCATTTTATGTGTATTATTGTTGTGATATAAAATAATGTAGTGATCATGTAAACAAATTAATGTATTGGTAATTATTTGTATTTTTTTGTCACTCTGGTAATGCCAGAGGGACATTGTCTGTAGGTTATTCATCTAAATTATGTGATGCTTGTTGTCAAGAATATTTTGTCTCTCTTCTCTCCCAATATGATACTAATTATTATCAAAAATGTTTTTCTCCAATACAACTTGTCTAACAGAAAGGGATCGGCATTTGCCACATTTAATTTTGTACGTGGATATGCATGCGTGCATGTGCACATGTGTTTGAATATAATTCTTATGAATGAATCAACACATTTGGTCCAATTTTGTACAGTTTTTATTGTAAGCTATGGAAAACCAAAGAAAGAGTATTCGGTTAATTCTCTAGTTATAAAAATCTTAGTATTTGAAATTTACTGACTTGGTTTTCATATCATCAAATGAAACATTGATTCCATTTCAAACGAATTGGGAAAGCAAAACGTAGGAAATCAAGAATGTAGTTTTTTAAAGCATCATAATACATGGTCCATTTTTGAATGTTGCTTGTATTCTCTTCCTACCTTGAGATTATATTAGTTGCTCATATTGTCATATGACTTGGTCCTTGGAATTTCTATAATTGGCATTCCTTCTCCTGTACGTCCATGTCGTACCCCTTCCCTATTACTTGGGTATTCTAGTTTGGCTGGACATACTTTTTTTTATTGGAACCATCCAAAACCTTCAACCTGATTTACTCTGCTCTCATGCGTTTAATTCACAACTCCAATCTTGATGAAATTTCAAAAAAAAGAAAAAAAAAAAAATTCTCTGAGTGCTTTCATTCTCCTTTTACTAAATAACATCGATGCAATTTGGTAGCTACTCCTTTGTGCATTGGCATCTATGGATCCCAGGAATGGATGGTGGATTAATTTTGAGGTAAGATATACCGTAGCTCTGTTGGATTGCATTATACTGACCGTTTATAATACGTTTGATCATTCTTTAAGGATATTAAGGCTCAGTTAGAATATAAGAGGTGGATATATTTTTTGCGGTCTGTTGTTGGTTTTAAGAAATATCATGACGGTTAGTGATTTGAAGTTTAAACGAAGTGGGTGAAATAGTTATTCTCGAAATAAATGAGTACTATTTTTGTATGAGACCTTTGATCTGAATAACCGGACACCTTTTACAGGCTTAACTTGAACTAGTTTGCGACCAGTGGCATAAAATGAGGTGTGGGAAAGAAAATGATACTCATTTGGAGCTTCTTATAGATGAAACTTTTGACTTCATTATTTTTAATGGTGCTTCAAAAGAGGAAATTGGAAGCAATTTGTATGCCATGGCCATCTTTTCATAGAACCTCTTAGGAAAAGAAACTCAATTCAACATTAGAAAAAAGACCTGACATCATACAATCTCTTTGCAATGTTGGGGTTGACCAATTTTGATTAAGCTCAATCAGGAAAACGTTTTATTCATTTTAGGCTCCAAAACAGTGATCAAAGTGGACTGTGCATGGACTAGCCAGCCGTTCATTGTTGGTATGATCAGGGCCAAACATGTACTGGCTAGCAAGTGAGCTATTGTAGCAATGGATGACACTATTCCTAGTTCAACTCATCAAGTGGGGGAGAGATTGAGAGAGTAAGTAGTTGGGAAGGACCTCTAGGAGGTTGCAAATTCTTAACTCTTCATTTTGCTCATTGAGTCCATTTCCAATTCTAGTGCAGACCTAGTAGCTTGGAGCTAGGGTTTAGCAAAGAAGAAGATAGGGACGATCCAAACGTAGAGAAAGATTAAAAAGCCAGAGATAAAAGGAGCACATGGTACTCTAGGGTTTTGAATAAAGTTCATAACATGATCCATCATTATGCTTGAGTACATCCTTTTTATAAGAAAACCTTAAACAAGACTTAATCCGACCATCCATCTAATCTAATAATGGCCATTTGTTATAAAATGAAGATATAAAAGAATAGAAAAATTACTACTTATGCCTCTAAATAAATTAAATGACTCAATAAATAAATAAAAGACCTAAAAGGACACATTCAATAGCTATTGTGCCCTTCTGTTGTTCCTCTTGTGAACTTTAAGCTTATCTCTCTTAAATACAGTATTCTGGGCTGCATCAAATGCTCATATTTTCAACCCTTTCAACATCTTGTGATGACTTTTCATTTCAATTCAGTCTTTCACAGTATTTTCTTAGATAATATGAGTTTTTAATTGACACAGCAACATTTTATTTGTTTCTTAATATTATTAGTACTTTTATTTTCCCATAATTGGTTTCTTATTTTTTGAGTGTGGGTAGCTTGTCATTGGTTCTTTTTTTTATATATATTTATAAACTCTTTCATATTTTACATAATTGATATGTTGCAGACTGATTATTTCGTGCATGTGCATCTAGGCGCACACACATAGAGGGAGGCAGGCAATGAGAATTTGAGGTTGAAACTAAACGTTTACAATTGAATTTTTTAAAAATTTTTGAATAAATTATATATGATTGATCTACCCAAAAAAATTATATATGATTGGTTTTGATATGTTTACCTAACCATAGTGTTTACGCTTATGGTTTTGTAGCTTCATCTGAATTATGAATCTAACTTGGCAAATTCCCTTGAATAGTGTTTATTTTGTAACAAGTTTCTTGCCTCAGGTTGGTGACCGGTGTCCACACCCACAACCCCCTCAAGATACCCAACAATAACCAACAGTCTCCATCTTCTCTCACCTGCCTACCAATGCCTTAAGGGAACAACCTATATCTTATTATCGTTTCAATAGATGGTAAAAACAGGAGTTGGGCCAAAAAAATGCTCGTGAAGCAGTTTCGATGCCTCCACTCCTCGACCTGTATATGCACGAGTGGCCACCTTAGCGAGACTGTCATGTTCCTCGTGTTCCAACACCTTAATTGGAACCCACGTCTCATTGCCACCATTTCTTGTGTATGCAAATGGTTTGAAGATGTGGCGAGGCGGGTCCTGTGGCGTGAATTTTGCCGGGCTCGTGCCCCTAAAATGACCATCGACCTACAATCGAGCGGGACCCACAGTGTTGATGGTAGTTGGAAGGCTCTTGGAAAACTCCTCATCTATTGCTCGGGTTGTCGACAAGGTGGGCTTGTCAAAACCGCTTCAATTCCTGGTCACTTTGTGTATAGAACAAGATTTTCAAGGACTTCAGGTAAGAGCTTCTTATTACCCCAATGTCGAAGCGATGTGCTCTATGTATCAGACCCATGCGAGCATTTAGACCAGGGAGAAGAAGGGGACGTGGGATTCTTTCGGGGGGTATTTAAGTCATTTGGGGGGTCAAAGGTGAGGAAGATGCTTATAGAGAAGCAAGCAGAGCTTCACCCAAAGGAGGTGTGCCCTTATTGTAAGGCCAAAGTGTGGAGTATGCTGCAAGCAAAGATGATCCCAAGGAGTGCGTGCACCAGACTTGGAGCATATGAGGATTGCATCGAGTATTTCGTGTGTCTCAATGGGCATTTGGTCGGCGTGTGCACTCTCTTGCCTCTCTCTGACTCAGAAGAGGCGTCGGACTTGGAGTGATGGATGATGCATCCATTATCAAGGTACTCTCATCTTTCTACATGTATGTATGATAGGCATCTTCATCATCATTACCATGATAGGCATATGCGTCCACTATGTTTCGTTATATCTTGCATGGGTTGTGAAGAATGGCAGATTGTTGGTTTCATAATCAAGCCAGAGCCATGGGTTTCTCACGGCTTTGGCTTGATTGATTATGGTGTTGACTATTGCAACACGTCTCATGATCAATTCTTACACTTTTCCTCCCCAAAAGACAATACAACAACAAAGAGAACAAATGAGGGCGAGCGGATACCAGGATGGGTACATTCAGTTGAGTTAGTTAAATTGTCCTATACGAATGATGATAGCCAACATGGCCACCACCACCACCACCACAATCATCATATGTGTGAAAAGTGTTTGGCGCTGGCCCGGCCTTATCAGAACCCCATGTGGCCTCCCCAGGGATCCACCAGAATGATAGACTGAGGACCCAAAATTTTACACATCCCTCCCCTTGACTTCCAAGATCAATATCCGGAAACAAATATTGGATTCAAAGCCCTAAAAATGCTCCATCATGAGTGCTGTATCAACATCTTCATGAGTACTGTATCAACATCTGATCTCGACTATCCATTTCAATGGATACTAGATGGATCAGATTTCCACCATTTTAGGAGCTCCAAACGCAGTTCTTCAGGGCAACAATCGATTTGCAGATGTCTTGGAGGTTTCTGGGTCCTGAATCAATGAAAAAGATGGATTTTTAGGGTTGGCAGTGCAGTGTTTAGGTGTGCCCAGGGCGGTGCCAAAACCTGAGCCTCATATGTGGTCACTGCCATTGGTTATCTTACATGGGTTTCATTGGTGGTGGATTTTGGATGGGTTAAAATGAGTATTAATAGGGGCTGCAAAGGCATGGATTTGTATAATGATCTTTGTCCTCAAAGATCAGCATCTTTTGTTTTTTTGAGGAAAACTGTGTCCTCAAATATCAACATCACCATTGTTTTTATAATAGTAGGGTTTCAAAACGTTTTTTTCATTATTTCTTCTTTTATCAACTTATCATTGGGTTTCAATTTTAATATCCAGATTGAGATTGGACGGGGTGTTGGACTGTGGTTTCAAGGAACCATTGGGTAAGGAATGAGCATTAACTGGGTGTGGAGGATTATTTGGAATGACATGGCTGCATCACCTACCTGTCTTTCAAACCATCTTTTTTGAAGTTGTTATTAATACCAGTCTTTTGAACTGTCTTGATTTAAGATTGATCTGTCTGATATTTGATGTAGTTATAGGTTTCGAATGGCCACATGGTTATCACAGTGAGATGGTTTTGTGAATTTAATATATGGGAAAGTATACAATAACAGTTTTTACTGTCGTTACAAGAAGGTGAAAATCACTCCTAGCCATCAGATGTGAAATTGGGTGACTTAGGGCATACATTAACCGTGCTCGAAGTCTTAGAAAATTTATGATTTTGTGGGAAGGAATGACACACCCCAGTCATCGGATTTTACATGTAATGGCTTGGGGTGTTCATGATGTTTGCTTATGAAATGTACTTGTCTTATTGAGTACAACCCCTTTATAATATTCTTGTTCTTTTATAATTGTTGCTTTTATCTATAAGTTTTGAAATTTTCAATTTGTACTGGTATAAATAAAATTAATAAGTCTGATTCATGGCATGAGTCATTTTCTTGTTTCCATTTTGTCTATCCATGTTCCCATGGAAAAGCAATTTAAGGAGATGAATATAAGTTATGCTAACGTAAGTACTTAACAGTATTTGGTTAGGGTAAAGTTTAACTGAGGTCCTATTCAAATGTGGTCCCTTTCCAGAAGTCCATCTCAGAGATGGATTTAGGATCCGGAATATATTGTAAATCACTATCTATGCATTTCCTCTTTAGAGCCTTGATGTTGCAGCCCAAAAATAATGCAGATCTGATGATTTGCGAAGAATTTAAATGAATGGCGATGAATGGTCTGAAAGCAAAGTTTAAAGTAGTTTATTTTTACACTTCCAAAAAAACAAAAAAAAGTAGTTTATTTTTAATGTTCAAAATCTATTTTTTCCGTATTCATGATCGTGGTAGTCGAGTTTATAAATCCATAAAAGTTTTTAGCTTCATAATCCATCTCTAAATGGATTTTTGCAGGATATTGCATTTGAAAAGGTGTGTAGGCTGACCCCAATTTAGTTAAGAGGTTGTGATCATCATCACACACCAAAACCCCTTTCTTTTAGTTAAGAGGTTGTAATCATCATCACACACCAAAACCCCTTTCTTTTAGTTAAGAGGTTGTGATCATCATCATCATCATCCAAGCTTTATCCCAATTAATTGGGGTCAACTACATGAATCATGTACCTCCATTCGTATAGGTTCAAGATTCATGATAAGATGTGACTAAGTTTTACATTAGCTGCTTAACTAATGTATCCCACCTCCAATACCCGGATTTGGGACGGGTTAAGGGAAAGTTTAAGATCCTCACCCTTCTTAGATCAAGTTAAGAGGTTGTGATAATTATCCAAAAAATAAAATAAAAATACACCGAAAAAGTACTCCGTTTTTCATGTCAAGTGTGAAATCTAGAAAAGGATTGTTTGTTCCAAACCCATGAAACTAGAAGCTATAGTTTCTTTAACAGGTTCTCCATGTAGAAGATTGGCCTGCTTACTCACTGATATGCAGTTGATCAGTTTTCATGGATTTTGATTCATGTTTTTGACCATTCACAGGCTTGAATGGAGTGTTGTTGCTTCAAAAGGTTCTATTACTGATTTTGGACCTCACATTTGGAGTGAGATTGCCTTTCTTTTCAAGAGATGGGATCTGTCTATTCTCGTTCTCTGGAATGGTCATGGATCAGTTTTCTCATGAACACTGTACAGATTCAAATGAAAAGGCTTATGCCACTCTTCATTAATGGGTATGTTTATTCGTTTTCAAGTAGAAATACCGCATACATTTATGCACTTTGTGGCACTTTTATACAATGTTTTGCTCTAGATTCTATGAAATCAGTTCCTTTATCGATGAGATGGTTCAGTTGAGTTGCCAAGCCAGAAGAATTATTTTGGGGTTTTGAATTTTTAGAAATTTTTTCCCATCTTGGTTTTTGTCCTTTCTTTTTTTCTTTGTTGAGATGGTTTAGTTGAGTTGTAATGCCTGATGAATTATTTTGGGTTTTGAATTTTTAGAAACTTTCTTCTATCTTGGTTTTTGTCCTTTTTTCTTTTCTTCTGAATTCTTCTTATTTGTTCTTTGATTTTTTTTGTTGTTCTTTTCTTTCTTTCTTTCTTTTCCTTTGAATTCTTGGAATCTGTTATTCTAGTTTGGTTTTTGTTCTTTTCTTTCAAGGTTTCCATCTTGGCTGTAGGATTGAAACTCAAAAGTGGTCTCTCTCTCTCTCTCTCTCTCTCTCAAAAAGAATTGATGTGGTTTGGGCCAGCTTATTGGAACAGCATTAGTGTTGTAATTCTTTTATGGAAAAAGTTTATATAAGGTTGCAAAACCCTTTGATTGACCATCTCAAAAATCTATCAGAAAAGATAGTTTTAATGTTGAAAAACCCTTTGATTGATTATCTCGACATTGAGATGCATACCATGAAAAATAAAAAGAATTTAAGTCCAAG